AGCATGATTCCGCCTTTAATTGTTAATTGCATGCTATTGATGTTGCTTAAATGAACATGTTTTTCACAAATCTTCCTTCACCTACACCATCAAAATCAAATTACACGGAAGATGAAAAATTACAATTTGAGGAAGAGGAACACACCCAACCCACGGCAAGGGTGGAAACACCTTTGCCGCAGGCACCTATTGCTCCTACGCCATCCAATTCAGGTAAGGTTGTTCCAAATTTAATTATTTCTAACCCCATTCCACCCAATGTCCTTATTCCTTGCAGGTTCATGAATTCCAAGGAAGACGAAAGTGAAAAAGACATCTTCGAAGCCCTTCCAAAGGTGCAAAATAGGGAATATCAAGAATTCAGCAAAGAGGATGTTCTTGAGACAAACAACCCCAAAGAAGTTGAATTTTATGACAAGGGACAAGGAACAACCCTCACACCAAATCTGGCCGAGTGCAATATTCCTGAAATGTTCAAAGAAGATGTGTTTATCCTTGAATTCTTGGAGCACATAGGTAAGCCACCTCCAATTTCAATTTCATTTTTTACTAACAGGTTGTTGATGATTCAGGCACCCAATCTTGAATTTAAACCATTACCGGATCATTTCAAGTATCACCTTCATTCAAGGATCAATTCCATGCCATGGGTTCCAATTGAGCCTAAGAAGAGAGTTTGTCCAGCTGCAAGACGTTAAAGCAAGCGCTTCTTGGGAGGCAACTCATGCATTCAACTAGAGAGGACTTAGGCAATCTAACAATTCATTCAACTAAATCAGATTTGCGTTCCTAAACCTCTCTCTCTTTACTGCTTTTATTTCGTCATGCTAGTTAGTTTATGTTGTTTGTATGTGAGTCTTTGTTTGAAACATTGAGGACAATGTTTGATTTAAGTGTGGGGGGGGGGGGTAAACAAGTTGTTTTTGCATGATTTTTGTGGGATTTTATCACCTATCACTTCTAATGTTGTCTCTCACTGTTTTTAAGTGTTTTTAGTGTGTGTTTGAAGTGTTTTTATGTATTTGGATCAAAAAATACGAAAATTTTACAAAAAAATTGAAAAACAGTTTTGAAAAACCCAAAAAGAGTTGTTTTTAAGTTGTTTTTGTGTGTTTGTTTGTGTCTTAGGGTACCTTCCAACACAATGATGAGGATTTGGTTTTTAATTGCATGACTATTAAACAAAGTTACAAACACTGATGGAAGTTTGATTTACTCTTTGGTTTATGCTTGGTTATAGTTATAGTTTACAAATTCACATGTAATCACAAAGAGAAAATCAGTTTTTGTAACATGCTTGAAGGAAGGAACTCAAACTAAAGCTACATCCTTGAGAGATTTGAGACTAAAACGTTCTTTGGAGAGTATAAATCTGTGATTTCTTGTTTTCTAAAGTCGTTGCATGATCTCATCATTCTTTGCTTGGTTGCTACTGAGAATGCATTTCATTATTATAGTTCCAAATACTAGAACTCATGCCCATTTCATTCAAAGCATGATATTGATTGCATAACATACAATAAGATGAAGTTGTTTAGTTAAACCAAAGCCAAAAAAGACTAACCCTTTTGCATATGTATTGTAGGATTCCCCCTTTTGAGTCGTTTCAAGCCTATTTTTCTTTGTTAGCCACATTATCCTCACCTAGCCTAGATTAGGAGTTTCCATACCCTTGTTCTTAAAGGATAGTGAAGCATGATTTAGAATGAATTCCTTTTGAGCAACATATTGCAGAAAACAAGTGTGGGGGAAGGTAATAGGGCATGGTAAAGAAAGAAAATAAAGAAAAAAAAATTCGTGGAAAAAGGAAAAAAAAAGAGAAAAGTGGTAAAAAGAAAGAAAAAGAGTTGAAAAATAAATGAGAATGAACTCACAAGTGTTGGTTGTTGAAGAGAGGGTCCAAAAGTTTGAATTTGACCCTAAATGTTGCATGAATCTTCCCTTGTGTTTAAAAGTTAAATTCTGCCATCAAAAGTGAGTTTAAGTGTCAATTTCATTACTTTGCTTCCTATTACTTTAAGAACCTTTGTTTTTCTTTACCTTTCTTTGTTAGCCAATACCCTTAGCCCCGCTACAACCCTCAACTTCTATCTTGATGTTATGTGTTCAATATGTAAAGTTTGAAATTCGTATGAGCATATTGAATCCCTGGTTCTCATTCTAAGTAGTAGCATTCCATTCATGAGATCATATACATGTCATTGTCTTAATTCCAGAAAATGCTTTCTTTGTTATAACATATGTGAGTGTTAGTCTACATGTTTACATCAATCTTCTCACATATACCTAGTGTAGGGAGTGTGGTTAGAAAATCTGTGTGAAAATAGAGAGCATTCTAGTGAATTGAGGGAATTCTCTAAGGCATGTTATTACATTCAAAATGTTGTTTTAATTGATTAAATGTGAACTAAAAAGATGGTAACTATGGTTAAGTGTTTGCTCAAGTGTAAAGAAAGCTAGAAACCGTGGGAGTAATGTTCTTTAATATGTCATGTGCATTGGAAATCCCTAAGGTAATTGTTGGAAGGTTTAGATTGTGTTTTGTTTGCTTTGTTTGTTTGTTTTGCTTGAGGACTAGCAAAAGCTAAGTGTGGGGGAATTTGATAGGAGCATATTTAGGCGACTTAGTTAGCTTGTTTTCTTACATTTATGTTGTTAATTCACAGTTATTTTAGTATTTTTAGCTATTTTCGTGTGTTTATAGGTTCATATGGCTAAGGTAGCAAGAAGGTGCATTTTGGAGCAAAATTGGACTTGGAATGGATAGCATATTGTTGACCCTAAAAATTACAAAGCCTACGTGGTGCGCAGGCCGAGTAACTAATAAGCTAACTACGTCCTTCGGTTGAATGCGGGGCGTGCCAACTCGTCGGCCGAGCTCGGCCGAGGAGTAAAATTTGTTGATGTTGCGTTGAGCGCGTTGTTGACTTCTTTATCTTGCGACTGCGGCCGAGGAAGGAACAAATCTCGGCCTTTGGATTCTCGAGCCTGAAGACAAGGCTGCTAGTTCTACGAAGTTCAATATCAAATTCGGCTCTCAAGGTGCCGAATGTAGTAACCTGGTAACACCTCACTTCGTCGAGAAGGCTAATGAGATGACCTCTGCCAATAAGGATTTGAAAATCCTTCTCGACCGAGACTTGGATAGATAACCAGTCGGCCTCGACGCAGTGCTGTTTATCCAAACTGAAGATGCTTCGGGAACGGCTGATTCTACTGCAACAGTGCTGTTTATCCAAACTGAAGATGTTCGCCGGTTGCCTTCACAGTGCTGTTTATCCAAACTGAAGATGTGTCGGCGGAAAAAAGAAAATAAAAAAAATCTCAAGATGTTTGAGAGGTTTTGCGCAGGGCAGTTGTGTGTTGAATTGGAGGTCCTTTTTTAATTGTCTGCCGCTTGGTATTTATAGAGATCTGCAAGCCAAAGTCGCGAAAACCAATCCTAATTGTACTGTGACTGTAAGTCTTTATTGCACACATCTTATCAAAATTTGTTGTCATCTTGCAACCTGGTGCAATCTTGCTTTGACTAATAACCTTTATCCATCATTATCATAACCTTTATCCATCATCAAAACCTTCTGCCAAAGACCACATGCATGCATGACTCCTTCACCAATTCCTAGATAAGACCACGTGCACCAATCTCATCCATGAATTCCAAGTCACTTTGTACCGCACCACCCACTTCTATATCAGAAATAGGACTTAGGTTTAGGTCATAATTAGCCACGTAAGAGACTGCATACACTTAAAGTCTTATATAATGAGCCAATTCGAATGTCTCTGCGCAATCCTTTGAAGACGGATCAGATCATTTTTTCCAAAACAACCAATTGGATATACCAAAAATTAGGTTTTAACTATCCTAGTTATTATTAAGATATAATTATTATGATTAAAAACCATAACATTATCTCAAAACAAAATTATCTTAACTTTCTTATCTGACGATCTAGAATCATGCTTACTCAACGGCCTCGATTGCACGGGCCGATGGTGTAATTTTGGGTCCAAACACATATGCTTGGAGCAAAAGGAATGGATGAAATTGAAGACTTAAAGATGTAAGGATTCCTAATCAAAGAAGGATTAGGAAAGAATGATTCCTAATCAAAGAAGGATTCCTAATCAAAGTAGGAAAGTTAAGCCAAGGTTTCCTATTTTGGTTTAACCTTTCCTAATCCTAAATGTCCCTAAATTCCAGCAACATTGAAGGTTTCTTATCCATTTTAGGACACAAACCAAAGCTCCCTTTTCTCCTAGTCTTTGCCACACCCTCCTTACCCTTTTCTTCCAAAATCTACCACATATCTTCCTTTCCCTAGATGTGCCGCACCCCACATTCCCTTATTCCCCCTTTCCTTGCATTAAAACACCTTTCCCTTTCTCCCTAGGTGCTGCTGCACTTTTTCCTTCCCTTTTCCATTGGGATTATGATTTGTTACCCTTTTTCCTTTAGGATTTGGAGCTAAATTCTTTCCCAAAACATTTAATTAAGACTTTAACCTTTCTCCCTCTATATATACATAATTTGCCGCACATATTAGGCTCTCTAGACATTCATATTCATTCAGCCATCATCCACCCTCTACCACCATCAAACCTATCCATCTATCACCATAATTCATACCCAAACACCCTTGTGCCGCAACAAAGAAGGAGAAAGGAGAGGAGAAGCTTTGGACGTTTTGGCCCTTCAAGCCTGGATTGTTGGAGCGTTTCTAGGTGTATTCAATCTTTGTTTTCAATGTTTAATTTATATTCTCTTTGTTTTGTTGTAAACATGAGGAGCTAAACTTGTTTTAGCTAGAGGAGACTTTGAAACCTTGAGTTGAAGCAAACACCAATTGCATTTTGATCTTCCATAACCCAGATATTGAAACAGAATTTCCAAATTTTTTGGATCCTTTCTTGTACTCCTTAAAGCTCAACTCTCCTTTTTTCAGTACAATAATAGCTGGTCATATACCGAATGAAAAACATTCTAAAAAAGGTAATAATAAAATACACGAACATATTTATACATTCGTTACCAGGAAAATTAATATTTACAAATTAAAAAAAAAAAAAAAAAAAAAAACCATATATTAGTGTTCCTATTCCTCGTCTTTTCTGTCAAAACGACAGGAAAAAAAAGAAGAAAATTGACATATAAAAACACCCTGGCTTAGAAAGCCCTCTACTATTCTTTTCCTAGCAATGAATCAAGAAGAGCTGCTTCTTCCTCCTGCAAACATGACCACAAAGACAAAGACAACACTTAGCAGTCGTTTGTCTCCTTTAACAATAACATATTACCGGTATGAGAAAAGTGCAGTCACGTACCACCAAGGCGTTAAACTCAGTCTCCTCATCTATGGCACTAATGATAGCAGGATCTTCCAGCATGTCCTGTTTCAACGATCAAAACCACATTTTATACACAATAGCTATCATCCATTCCTTTCCTCGTAAATAAATAACTGACGATTCACTGCATTTGCTAAGCTTACGCCAGGCGTTTTAATAATACAACTCCACAAATATGCGAGGGATTGAAACTTGAAACGATTCTCTATGTATGATAATTCACCGACAAATGGGATGCTGTAAGTCACAAAGGCTCTAAATCTTATGGTTCTATTTACGTGCTGGTTATATATTCATTTCATGTACCTTTCCCAGTATCTATTGGTTAGCAAAACTACAAATTAATGCTTTGTATTAATTATGCCAATCTAAGCTACCAGATATAATTCAAAATTACCATTTTAGTGCAGGCTGAAAACCTACAATAGAACAACAAAAGAATATGGTGCAACTTCAAGGTTCCACTTCTCTACCAAAAAAAGAGAACAAATTCTGCTACACCAATACCATATTAGGAAGGGGCGCAACATGTTTTTAGAAGTAATACTAAGTTGGAAAATATTAGGCCACCAAACACAATGCAAACGGTCAGGTTTAAACTCTAACAGTCTTATTTAAAAAGCCAAAAGTCTACTATGTAATGAGTGAGATTGCTTACATCGTCAGCAATTTGCAACAAACCAGCATTATCCTGGACAAACAAAATCCAATATTAGTTCTCTCCTGCTTCTATTTCATAGAATTATCTACGATTCTTTTGCTAAATTAAATAACTCTGCTTAACATTAAATGTGAGTAGTAAATCAGACATTTTATGGAACTTGTTCATAAATATGAGCAAAGAAAAATGGATTTAATTAAACAGAGATGCTAAGCATATTAAATCTTGAAGGTTACCTTTACAACAACAAAGAGAAGTGGGTCAGACGGCGTATAAATCATGTAATGTGAACCATCCTGCACCAACAGAACTATAGATTAATGGCAGTGGAATGAAAAAACCATCTTACTCATTTGTATAGATCATCAATAATAATAAAGTTGCAAACGCCGTATAAACAAACACAGACAATGACATGATTTATATTAAAGTTATAAACATTCAATGATAACAAACCAAAAGAAGTAACTCAAAGACAAGTTGGTCTTCAAACAATCCATGCAATCTACTGGATAACTAAAATATCAAAAAAGTAAGTTCAGTGGATACAATCATTGTTCATATTCTCAACATCTATTGCTCTTTTTTCTTTCTTTACTGATGAACATTAATGAAAACATGTCTCGGAAAAGAAAATTTTAAGGAATTCTGGAAAGATCTAACTTTTTTCAGTGCAAGAGGTTGTTTGAAGCAAAACAAATGGTCAAAGTGGCAATAAAATCTTTATGACCAGTTAGTTGCATAAGCTGTAACCATTAAGCCAAAAAATATTGAGGATGTGTAAGGAATAACTTGAAGGTTCATTCACACAAAATATGAAATGGTAGCTCTTAAGGGAAAACAAATAATTGAATTTGATACAGAAACAATCCAATTATAAGGCTGAAACAAACTTAACATTTATCTAGTTATTATTTAATCTAAGAGGTTAGTGCACTGATGCAAGCTAACACTTGTATTATGTCTAGGCAGGATGTTTTTTTCATGATGTAAGCCAACACTTGTTGTATTATGTGTAGGCAGGATGTTTTTTCATGTAATTTTAAACTGGGGCATTAATCGAATGATGAAAGGGGTAGGTCACATGATCCATACACTATAGATTAATATATGGATCCAGCAGCTAGTTGATTAAATGGGTTAGTTTGTTAATAAATTTAGTGACCACTTTGTGGTCTTGAATAATCCACTGTGTAGTTTGACTAGGAGCACAAATACTGGCTCCACTTCATTCTCAGTACTGTTGATCACTCCCTATCTCATGCAAAGGGTATGCCACCCATGTGGTAACCCAATGCCCACCCCTCATGATCCCAATGTTGGCAAGAGGAAGCTCACTCAATGCTCACACTTGCAGCAGCACCAGGTACTTGACCACCTTACCACAAAAGTGCATTATGAGACTTCTCCCTTCCGCTCGGAGGAAGCATCAAATGTGTGAGCAATGATAATGGCCATGTTCATGGAAATGCCACTCAACAATATCTGTCCATAACTCATGCCATGTGCGCACTGCTCTCCTTGCGGTCCATGACTCTAGGCAGTATAATTTTGTGTATCACACTCTCAGCACTATTTTTCTTTTGTAAGACTAAAAGCTTAACTCCACCCTAACAAATTGTGATCAGCAGTAGGACCCAACATATAGTAAATCACATGAAGAAAGAGAAATTTAGAAGTGATATTTCTTGAGTATAGCATAATCCTTGATCACGGCTCCGGTTTAAAGATGTATTATTTAGTAGCATAATTGCACCAATAGCTCAATTCCAAGTTAAAGACGTGATAATAATCTAGTAAGCTGAAAATATAAATTGATCTTCAAAAACACAGATGAGTTTGTATCAAGAATTGTACTTTCCAGTGAACATCATAAAAATTCTACAAGCATAAATCTTCATCAGGAAAAATGCAGGCTAGTTTTCTGCAACAATATAGTATTAGACTGTATAAATTACCAATTTAATGTCACATTCTTAACAAAACAACTGTATATAGATGGTTATCACATTACCAAATGGAAACATGTAATTTCTACACCCTCGGTTGGCAGGCCATCTACATCTTGACCATCATCTGCAAAATAGTTAACACCACACATTACAAACATTAGACAACCTGAGTTCTGAAGTTAATAAATGGGGATCTATACTATAAGGATGAGCTCAAAAGTTTACAGCTGCCAACTAAATCGCTAATATTCCTAACAACAAACATTATCGTTTTAGCTAAAGTCCACTATCGCAAAATACTATAGAAAGTGTTTTTGCCTTTTCATTTAACCGAAAGAAAAGCTAGAACCACCACAAGACATTTCCTATGGCATCAATAATTGATGGTTAAGTTCAACAAAAAACTTCATTTATATTGGGAAAAAAGAAAATGAAATAGTAAAGCTCGAATAGATATTGATATCATAACAACCTAAGAATACAGCAACAATAAAACAATTATTATATCAAGGAAAATAAGAGACGAGCAATTGCCTGTACGGAAATCAAATATGTCATCTTCGGAGTAACAAAACCCTCCCCGTGCAGTATAGCAGAATCTGATATGAAGACACAAACATGAACAAATTAATATCAAGACATCTAGGAGAACCAAGAGGCCACGGTTTTACGCAATTCTGAAGGTGGAATATCTGTATTCATTTTCATACCCACTATGTACTAGATGCATGTGTATCTTAGCAAGGGCATAAGCAGCAGAGGGAAGAATAGCTTCAACTTCTTCATCGCTGACCTATGAAATAAAACAACATAGATTAAATTAGTAAAGCATGAATATAGATTATAGAAACACTTCCACTGACAATAATCATTGACATGTTGATTACAATCCAACTACTCGAAAATCATTTTTTCTTAAAACTTTTTCAATAATCTTTTTAGTAAAAAAAAACAGAACTACAAAGAACAGACAAATTGGAAAAATACACTTCAAAAAGCCAAAACGAAGAAGGAAACAAGACTCAACTGAAACAAAAAGACTCCCAAAAACAGAACAAAACAAATAGCAGCTTGCTTTACTCAACTAGATATTTGAGAAAGATGAACCCATATAGTTACAAATACCAAATCCTAACATTTTCCAATAACTCCTCATTTCTCAGGAAACCCTATTGTTTCTCGCTATCCAAATCACCCAGGGAAAGGCTATAACTGTACAACCCCACATGACTGTGGCTTCCTTATCCTTCCATGCCATTTTATGGCTCTCAGATAAAGGAAATGCTATCCATTGGAATGGTCAAATTTATATTCATAATCCCGAACAACCTATACCAATGACTCAATGCCACAGCAATGAAGTAAAATACGATTCAGCGATTCCCCATTCCTCTTGCACAAAATACACCTTTGAGGGGTAAGAAACCTTTGAACCGTAGAGCAAGCATTCACCTTACGACAAGCGACTACCATGACATCATTTTCACCTACAAATATGTAGATGAAACGAAGACTCCAAAATGTGAAATGCATTCAAGTTCAATACCCAGAATTGTGATGTGAAACAACTATGCATACGAATACAAATAGTAATCTCCCCTTTTTTATACACAATAAACATGAATAAACATGCATAGCAGCTTCTTTGGAGCATATTTCAAGTGCATTATTTAGTTTCATATGAACCAAAAATATAACAAAACTTTCAAATTCATGGTTGGAAGGGCTTTCAAATTCATGGTTGGAAGGGGTGATTTAGAAGAAGAATTTTAACTTTCAAATATAAACTATAACTAAAAATAACAATTACAATCACATGCAGTTAGCACATACAGGTTGGAGTTAAGCTTTCTTGAAGCTATGTAGTACAAATTAACCATTAGCAGAATTCCCATTGTTCACATTTCTTCTCTATTCTGTCCTAGTTGCTTTATCCTTTCAAGTTTCAACATATGATGCAAAACCCATAATACTTCTCTTGCATGCTCTTAATGTCCAGAGGTCCAACGAAATTATAAAAACTTTTCAGCCACTAATTAAACATTGTACTCCAACTTTAAGCTTATCTCCATTGCAGTAGGATAATCCATTAAACGTATTTAGAAAATCCCTGCAACTTATCATCTAAAGCCACTCACAACCACAACTTTAAAAGACTGCCTTCCTTTCACTAGACAGTTCCCAGCCCCTGGAATTTTTAGATCATGCCCATTTTGTAATATCATTTCATTCTTATCGCATACAGTCAAGCTAAGTAAACTTATACAAAAACATTGAAAGACTAAAGTTGTCTCTTTGTTTGACCATTGAAAATTACAACAATGACTATTTATCACATACATAATGAAACTCCACAACATGCAAAGATTATACATGGAAATATATATAACATAGCTTGCTGATGATTGGTCATTTTGGCTCTATTTGTAAAGTCTGGGACCATCCAAGGATCACCCTGAGTTATATGGAAGATGTTATTCAAAAAATCTCATAGGATGATACACTAGGAGTTCTTAAGTCTTTTTGGATACACAATGCATATTTTCTTAGACATATACATTCATACCCAGGCCCATACATCATAAAGGGAAACAGAGGGAAATCCTCATTTGGGTGATAACTAAGGATACCCTAACTTTCTCAAGGAAAGATTAAAACAAACGCTATTAAGAATAACAAACTCATGATTTCAATACAGTTTAAAATTTCTGATGCCCTTGGGCATAGTGGGACCACCTTCTTCTTCAAGGAAAAGGTAGAAGGTCTGAGTATTGGGCTTTCAATCCTTAAAGGCTGCATCTGTATTATTATCATTCGTCCAGAATGCGACAACCGACAGTAACATCTTCCGTCATTAATTCACCTAAGTTGGAAGAAAACTTGGACCAACACATGAATGCTCAACAACATGACAGTTGGATAGGACCATTCAGCCATCTAAACAAAATCCTATCTGTCCTTGGAGATAGACCGCCTCACATATTACCTAGCATATGTGAATGAAAAAGCTGCTGACCATGTCGATAATCATGAGTGGAGCCTTGATAAACTTGGAATTTTCTCTTCATCCTTGGCATGAAACATAACCATTGCTTCTGCCAAAGATCAGGATAGAGCCAGTGTATCTTCCTTCAGCAAACCAGCCAGGTACAAAACTGCCCTGGATTGTGGATTTCCTCCTGTAGGTGTTTGCGAGCTGAATGTTGATGGGTTCTGCAAAGGATCTAAAACTTATAGGCACTGGAGGTATTGTGAGAGATTTTAATGGGAATGGAATGCCAGTTTCTTAGTTAACTAGGGTGCAGAGGATGTCCAAAGACTCTTAACTGTTAACCTGGTTGATGGAACCATTAAGGAGATTCACCTCTGCTTGGGCTTCTGATAGGCTGCAGTGATCCAATCAATACGACTTGGGATTGTATTTCTTATGTCCCCCACCACCCCTACCCCATTAACTAAAGGAAAAAAGATACGGGGACGCAGAGTTGAAGTGAAGCATGAGAAAGAAGAAGAGGAGAATCACAGCCAATCAGTCATGGTGTTATTTCCACAGCTAACATGGACTTACATATGCATTGCATAAAATGCCCAACATATCGATAAAAGAAGTTATATGGGAAATCAATGAGAAATTTAAAGTCGAAGCTATACATGATACATGTATCTGCATTCATAAACTTTGCAGTTTCAAGACTGTCATACGGAGTCTAAACAAATTTAAGACTGAACTGAACACAAGATGTGGACGTGAAGAACTTACAGCTGACCAGCCATCTATGTTTGTGCTCCTTAATATTTGAACGGGCCTGCATTAATATAAATAAATATAATATTTAGCAATGTTTATGGATATATTGTTCAGTCACAAAAAAATAAAAACAACTTTACTTACGTGTCAACTGGGCAAAGCAGCATACATTCATCCCCTCGCGAGCTTCTGAATACTCTCCTTATAACACACTCTAGAGGGAAATTATTGGTAGGATCGACCTGTCCATGACTACTTCAGAATAATATAATTTATCAAAAGGAATGACAAATGAACAAATGGTAGATGAAGCTTTTATTTACAACCAGCATTGATCTTTCTTAATTTGATCTGACAAAACAAAGAGATCATAAAAATATACTATAGTATTCTAGTTCTAAATTTTCGGCCTTAATCATTAGTTTAGATGAGCAATCACTGCTGGTATCTTTTTTTTCACTCTAACCTTAAGAATCCATTATGTTGGGTAACTTAAAGAATTAAATCAGCATCCAATAATCCCAAAATGAACGTAGCTCGTGAATGATTCACCGTAGACAAAAGAATTATAAATCATATACAAGATAATTAAACAACTAAGCTAATAATGAACTTAGCAAGTGTATCTCCGCATTTTAATCCAGCAAATTACAGCGAATAATTAATTATTCAGTAAAACCTAAGCTTCTAATGCATATATGAACTCTAAATTGTACAAAAGCCGATTCAATATATAACTATTAGAGACTTGAATTAATAAATATCAATAACGACGACGGAGGTATAGAAAATAAAGCAAAGAAAGAACTCACAATGGAAGCAATTCGCTTGGAAGAAGCCATGAGCACCTTCCCATGATCATCCACCACAAACCCAGCCGGCGGATTTGGCAGCGGTGTTGGATGGAAATCCAACGACCTCGAATTTGAAACCCCACCACCACAACTATCCACAATTTCAACATCACCGAAGCTCAGATCCTCGGAATTGTCACCGCCACTGCCGCCCTTGCGCTTTTTCTTCTTGTTGTTGTTGGTGGGAGGTGAGCGCTTCTTGACGGGGCCAGTCTGTGACTTTGCGGCGGCACAGAGAGAGATACGGAGCCTGGCAGGGGTCGATGAAGGAGGGGATGGAAGCGAGATTGAGTGTGGGAATAGATGTTGGTTGGAGTGGAAAGCGAACAATGGGAGGTGGTGGGGTCGCTTGGAATGGAGACTGCAGGTGGTGGTTGATGGAGTTGTGGACAGTGAGAGTGAGGAGAATGCCATGTTCGTCTGGCAAGCGTGAGCGAGGAGAAGACCCAAGTTGAAGTTTCTTCTTTCAGGCTTTGGCGGCAGACCGTATGTAAGTGTAAATATTGGATAATGTTTACGCTAGTCTCACTAAATTAGTAGATTAAATTTATGAATTAAATAACGTATTATTAATAAGAAATAAACATGTTAATCAATATTTTTAGTAATAATTCAATCATTAATTTTTATGTTATTTAATTTACAAAATTTTATCTACATATTTAATCTCCCTAACATTATTTTAAAGACCTCAAATATTTTTTCTTTTGTTTTTTATGCATATCTACAAGATCAAATTTACATAGCAAGGATAAAGTAGTAATTTAATTTAAGGAAAACAAATAAAAAAAGATTTGAAAACTTTGAGTTTTAACGATAAGGATAAAATAAAGGCTAATGTGAATAGCACCATGATTGACTTTTTAGTGTAAAAATAAGGTTTTTCGTTAAAAGTGAATAGTACCAGAAGCTTTTTGTTAAAGTTCCCTTTAATTTAAACATTTAAGTAATAAAATAAAGAATTGTTGCAACACATTTATGTCCGTCCACTAATTAGTAATGAATAGACTATTGATAATTGGTGATGAATATGCCATTGATACCTCAAATGAATAGGTCATTCATTCCTCAATTAAAAGATGTAACTGAGACAAGAGTCGGTGAGTATGGTGGCGGAAGAAAGCTCTACGGCGGGAAAGGAAGTGATGACCACAACTGAAGTTCCTCTTCCTCTGAGATGAGGGCTTAACTTGACCAATCCATAGCAAGAAAAACAATAAGAGAAGATATTTTCGTAAGAATTAAAAGGCTTATACAGATCACAAGTTACAAGAAAATGTTTATTCTCCAACCTTTGTGCCTAAAACATCCCAAGTGTTCGTTGCCACAACCTCTACCGAACTTGCCCAGTTGCCACTTACGAGAAACCAACTTTCTTTGTAAGGCCTGTGGTTGGAAGGGTTGTTGGCAAAAAGTAAACAAAAATTGAGCACATGGTAGAATCCAAATTGCCCAAGACTGTTCCTCAGTTTATAGCAGTGAAGATGAGGTTAATGCCAAGATTGGTCTAGAATATTCCCTTCAGAGCACATACATGCTTAGCAAGAAACAAAAGGCAATGGGATTGAGTTGATGAGGAGCTAAACCAGTGTAAACTATAACATGATAAAGGAAAGGATGTAAAGGTAGCTGAACGCCTGACTAGAAGAGTTTAGTAGAAAAAGCCACACAACTATGTGTCGGTCAGCTAGGTCTATCCCTAATGACCAGCGCTGGAAGAATGACATCGTCAGGAATGTTGTACAGCTTTTCCAACTTCTGTTGGGTCATGATGCTAATGATGTGGACATCGGTGTGGTCCCGGCTGTCACATTGGTATAGGTCGGTAGGAACGCTAACCGAATGTGCGTGGGAAGGGCCTCTAAGTCTCTGTGACTGTATCTGTGGGGATAGTGGCCCATGACGTTTAGTTACCCCCAAGGATTCTTCATCACCCATCTCACTAGGTGCTGCCGGGTCAGCATCATCTTCCAAGTCTTTTTGGCAATATCCTAAAGTAGACTTTTCCTCATGGACAACAGGAGGAGAATAGTCTGTCAAGTCCACAAGTAGCGTTTCAGATTTAGGGGAATAAAAAGAGCTGATAGTCGGTCCAAACAGATGGTCGTCCAAAGTGTGGGTAGAGTTAACATAGTCATTATAGCTAGCTGTGTCACGATCTACGATTGCACATAGTCACAAGCTTTTTGGTTGTCATTTTTCGAGCTTGAGGCAATTAACATTATGTATACACTTGATATTTACAAGTAGTGTCATGAAATCTAAAAGTGAAGGATCGAATCACTACAGGTTTAAAGTATACCCGCTTGGCTGATTATATGCTCGATCAAAAGAGAAATTGTAGGCTACATAATCTACTTATCACACTGAAGCCTACATTATCATGTTCATCAGGGGTACTAGGGTCAGTGCGCACATGTACCAGTAGTGACCAAAATGTGTAGATCCCACTACAAGTACTTGTAGGAACAATAATACATATCTAATTATCCACAAAGTACAAAAAGCATAAGAAAAATGAGTTTACTTGAAATAACATCGACGAAAAAGGAAGGATCAGAATGAGTGATATTCAGGTTGTTGTAGGAATTGCGGTAACAATTTGGCAAAACTTGAGTATGAAAAGTGTGAACTGGGAAATGACTTGTGATGAAGGGTGTTTAAATAACCCCTAGCCTGTAATTTCAGCCATTGACAACAGAACGATCATGGCACGTGGTAGCCTACCTACTCTGCTATGAGAGCTGAAGAGATGTGAAGCAATATCAAGGTGCACGAGGCCACACCTGTCTTCCATGCCTTCAATATACAGGTGCCTCGATTACTCCTTTTATCCACCACTGACGAAAACCTCGGGCACCTAAATGTCTCTCGACCGTTGCTTTGTAAAAGGACATATGAGATAAGGTTAGGTTGAGCGGACGACAAGTGACAAATTAGAAACACCTGACGCTTCATCTTTGCTGAGCATAACTTAAAGAGTCAACAAATCATTATAACTCCATGCCCAAAAATGAAACCTTGACCAAGGAGTTAGGGGATTTGTTAACGATAGCCACTTTTAATCTCAAATAGTGGTGCAGGACAAGAATGGAGCCCCAGAAAACACAAGAGAGATTAAGAAGACCAAGGCCCAAGAGGCTTCGAAGATGGCATAACTAAGCACAATAGCCGACTGGTAATGAGCTTAGTCCGACCAGGGGATTCAAGGAGGCTCACGACCACCAAGAGAACATAGACAATCTGTCAGCTTTACGACACGAGTTTCCACAGACAAGTCTACCCAGATGCCAATCATGCCATGTGGCAGCCACCTTTAGTGACATAGGCCTAGGACAAGACGTAAAGGTAGTCGGAATGGTGCTCATGTAAGCAGGGTGCTTGACCCATATTGTTATGATAAGGTACGCTATTCAAGTTGAGCACCTATCACTTCATCGCCGAATGTCGGGTAGATAGATAGAAAGATGTCAACTTAGGGTGCCCCAAGGCTACTCATTAGTTCTATGAAGGCTGCAAGGGTATTTGTCTAATTAAAAGGCATGACAAAAAATTCATAATAACCAAACCGTGTTCTGAATAAAGTCTTTGGAACATCCTCAGCACGAATATGTAGCTAATGATATCCCGATCTCATACCAATCTTGGAAAATAATCAGGCTCCTTTCAACTGGTCAAATAAATCATTTATCCTAGGTAATGGATATCGATTCTTAATTGTCACTTTATTCAATTGACGATAGTCAATGCATAGCCACATATTATCATCCTTCTTCTTCACAAACAAATTGGAGCACCCCAAGGAGAAGTACTTGGTTGGATAAAACCCTTATCAATTACATCTTACAATTGAACTTTTAAACTCAACTTAGCTGATCTCATATGGTAAGGAGTAAAAGACATATGACCAGTACATGGTATAAGGCTGTTAGTGAATTTGATCTAACAATCTGGTGGTAATCCTGGCAAATCTTCAGGTGATACATCAGAATACTTATTCATAATCAGACCATCTTCCACACTAGTAACACATTTATCATTGACCATGACATGAGTAATATAGCTCGCACAACCCTTGGAAAAAAGTATTTTAGTCCAAATACAAAAGATTAGACTATTCGGCAGAATTCTTTGTTCACCCTGAAATTCCACTTATGGTCCCCAAGTAGATGAAAAGTTACAAGCAGTCAATGATAGTATGAGCATGATGCCTTGATAGCCAAGTCATTCCCAAAATAAGATCAAAATCAACCATATTCAGTGGAAAAGGATCAACTTCAATGAGTTTAGCACCCACAAAAAATTAACAATTCCTAAACTCCTAACCTATCATAATCATCTCCCTCATAGAAATAGATAATCCAAATTCTTGCTCAAGTGGTGTTGGATGAGCATTTTCCATCTGCGCAAATTATGGAGATATACATGAGTGTGTAGCACTAAGGTCAATCAAAATTTGAGCTAAGAAACCAAAAGCATTTAAGGTATTAGTAATGATGTTAAGATCTTCATTGGCTTACTGCTGGTTCATAGCAAACACCTCGGTTATGAGCTGCACCTCCAGAACTACAACCACCACGAGATCGTTAACTTAGACCCCTTCCCTATTGGCCACCCTGACCACGACTACCCGAGGCTTCACCAATAGACATCCCTACTGAGTATTCCACTAAACCTGAGGAATAGTAGGCTGACTAAACTGATAAGTCAGCAAGATCGGTAGGTACATATTGTTGGAAGCATGCCCACAAAGCCACTTATTTGATGTAATAGCTTTTGGAATACTTATTGTGTTAAACTATTATATGTTTAATGAAGGGCAAATCTTATTGTTAATCACTATTTATTGTATTATGTGTTTAAGCAATAAGGGAATCCAAGGACTGTATTTAATCTAAGAGAGAAGTGATCTAAGTAAGTTAGATTAATGAGACCTTTCTCTTATGTTCATTCCTAAAGTGTTCCTAGCCATAGGATTGCAAATTGGGCATTGACAATCCGCTAAGGTTAGTATGTGTTATGTTAACTCAAGCATGAGTATGACTAGTCTTAAGTCATTTAGTGTTAGACACTGAGACAAACACATAGGTGCTCAAAAGGTAATCGAGTACGTTGAACTACGATCAAAAGAGAACATACATGTCATGTAAGAACTCATAAGTTGCAATATGCAAAGTAGTCATTTAACTTAAGGCATCATAGATGTCTAATGGTTAGGTCCTTGATCTTTGATCATATCAAAGGCATTCCATCGAGAGTGTCCATGATATTGTTGGGGTCAAGTTATCTGGTCATGTAGGCATATGAATGCACAACAAGGGATCTTTAACCTTCCATGGTAGAAGAGAATACTCTGAGATATAATTTGGGAGTCTTTGGCCAAAGCATACGAATATGACTTAGGAAGTTTGTTCCAAATCATATTCAATTGAATCATATAGAGAAGTATCACATTGAATAGTAGACATGAAACAAACTATC